GTGTTGTGGAGGTAAAAACTGAGCCCCACATTCGCCCACTAGAGCCAGGAAGGCCCCTCGAGAACCTGGCAGGTCTGTCTGAGCTAGTATCAATAGTAACATTCAAGTGAATTATTACCTCACAAAATGTGGTTCATTATCAAATGTGGTTATTAAGGCAATAACGAACTTTATAAAGGCAATAATGTCTGTCCTTCCTTTTCGACGGTGCTTCACTGCTGCAGACCTGAACACTCCCACCTGCAAAGACTGTGAGAGTGGATCGTGCCCCAATCAACTCTTGTCCTCCATCCTGCAGGAAAAGAAGCTAACATCAGGATACATGGGGGTTTACTTCAGTACCAAGCCCAAAGGTACCTTCGCAACAAACCACAACACCAGAACTTCCTGCTTATCCCACCATATAGAGAACCACAAGGTTATTTTGTATCACAGACCGGCTTGATTTAAAACGATATTTCCAAGGACTGGTTTGATGAAATGTTCTCCATATGTTTTAAAAGTTATTATCTCAATGGAAATGGCTAAAATTTGATTAAGTATTATGGTATGAACACAGTGCCAGAATAATTTTACTAAACTAATTTCACAGTCACATCACATCTGCTTTAAATGTTTTAATTAACAAATAAAATATAAAGACCGAATAGTTGTCATTCATGTTTTTTTATATTTAAAACATTACAATAAATACTTATCTTAACTCAACCACTACCTCAATCACTCAATATTATTGCTTACATCTAGTGCGGGTCAGATGTGGGTGCTTTCCAGACTGGAAGTAATGTTGCCCTTTCACCAAGGTCAAGGGAAATGTATCTAATTTTATGAGTAATATCCGCAGCCATTTTGTCCTGTTCTAGGTAAATGCAGCCACGGAGGAAAAGGTGATTTGACAAGCACAACCGTCCCTCGTGGTGGCATCCACAAAGATGTGATCAACAGTGAAAACGTAGCCCTCCACAAAACTGCTGTTCTCTTGGCAACAACTGCAAGTCTTCAACTCCTGGAAGACATTCGCTTAGCCGTGGGGGACAAGGATTTTCTGAGGTGTGAAGCTTTTCTAACGTCATATAAGTCGCTCAAGGAGCCATAATAAACATTTATAATTTGGGCCACATCTTGTAGTGCTATAGCGTGCTTAAAATTCTAGGCCTGGTCCAACAAAAAGTAAAAAGAAAGCAAAACGGAGAAGAGAGTTTTGTTTGACAAGCAATTTGCCTAACACTCCGTGCCAAAGCCTGTGCAATGTTCTGGTTTCTTCACAGAATGATGGGAATTGCGCGCTCATCTGTCCTAGTCTTTGTAATCGACACCACCGGCAGCATGTCTGACGACATCGATGAAGCCAGAAAAGTGGTGTTCGAAATCATCGACAGCAAAAAGGGGACTCAGGATGAGCCCTCTGAGTACATCCTGGTGCCCTTCAATGACCCAGGTAGGAACCCTGAATTTCTCATGTTGTGCTGTGCATAAATCTGGATGCCTCAAATCTACAAAGAGGGTTTTTGGGAAATATATTTCCATATTCTCAATAAAGGGGTTTTCAAAGCTGATTGTTGATTATTTCCAGCTTTGCTCATGTTTTTGAGTTTGCTGGTCAGGTAGTGACAAGACAAACACCACATCCTGCTCTCGCCACAAGGCGTGCTGCGATTGGTGCAAATTACCCCTAAAAGATTAGAACTTTTGAGTAGTGCTAGAAGCTGCAGATAATTAATGACTAATGCCACAACAAATCCCTTGTAAGTGAAAACCTACCTGGCAATGAAAACGTTTGTCATTCTGATTCTGATTCTAAAAGTGTTGGTACAAGAGAGACTAAATCCATTCCACAGCCCTGGTCCAAACGTTCTGTTTCGGTGCCTTAATTATCAGATTCTCCCATTTCTAATGGTACCTGAGAGACCTTTATTTATAAGGACATAAGCTGGACGATCGAGATCCATGGCTTGGATGTACATGAGGTCAAGAGTACAGAAATGTGAGGTTTCCCCTTTGTTCTTTTGTAGGATTTGGGCCACTATCCAAAACTGAAGACCCTGACAAAATAAAGAAGTTGATCACAGATCTAAAGCCTAACGGTGGCGGAGATATTCCTGAGATGTGTCTGTCAGCACTGCAGGTACCGTCTATATGGGATTGAATTTTCAAATTGATGTGAAGGACAAAATGTGCAGCAGTTATTGGTTCTGTTTACAAATCCTCAACATCCTTCCTCCGCTTCAGGGAGTATTGTCTGTCCTGTCTATAGGTCAGGTCACAAGGTCCAACCTCGCTCTTAATAAATAAAATAATAAATATAATAAATAATACATGATTGAAATAATGGAGTTCAGTTATTTTACATCGGATGTAGTTCAGGACATGAGAAAGAAGCAAATATAATAAATAATACATGATTGAAATAACATGATTGAGGAGGACAGGATCGGATGTAGTTCAGGACATGAGAAAGAAGCTGAAGCAGGGTTTTTTTTTTTTTTTTTAAGCTAGAATATGCTATACCGCAGAGCTGTAATATGACCGGAGCCTCCTCAGCGCTCTGCAGCACTAACGCTGGCATTAGCTGTTAGCGCTGCTGAGCGCTGAGGAGGCCGTCTCATGGGAAACCCAAGTTGACCGTGGGGTACCCAAAACTTTTGAATTGATTATTGAAAGAGAGAGAGGGAGAGATTAAAAAATAAAATAAAATAAAAATGAAAAGGACAAAAAAAAACTGAATTTGTTTTGGTTTTCAGTTGGCTCTCACTGGCTCCCCCTCTTCTTCCCACATCTACGTTTTCACTGACGCCATTGCTAAAGACATTTCACTCAAGGACACCATCATCGCTCTCATCAGGCGAACCAAGTCTACGGTAATCTAAGCAAAATTCACTGATGACCATTGGCCCTTTGTGTGTTTTTCATGTTCACCCAACTGAAATACTTAATACGTGGAATTGGTTTGAACCTGGATCCACAGGTGTCTTTCTTCATGACTGGTAGCAGCAGGAGGCGTCGTCGCTCCGCAACTGCTAGCTTTGATGACTACAGGGAAATGGCACTGGCCTCTGGGGGACAGGCCATAGATGTGTCCAAGAAGCAGCTGCCTCAAGCCACCGCCATCATCCGTGACACCTCTACCTCAGCTCTGGTAAGAGAAAATAAAAAAAAATCAAAATCACAATTAATCAGTTGTAGCTGGAATATTGTAAAACAGTAAACAGTATTAGTAAAAAATTAGAAAAAAAAATCAAAATCACAATTAATCAGTTGTAGCTGGAATATTGTAAAACAGTATTATTATTATTCCATATATTTCATCAATACTTGTTCAAGTTTCAAACATTGTATATTACTACATGTAACAACAACAAAAACATTTTAATTTATCAGATTAACAAAACTTTTAAAAAACTTTTCAACATTTTTTAAGTAAAAATCACCAATCGCATGCTAGCTAATATTTATAATCAACTCTACACAACATAAAATGTTTCTTTCATAAACCCTGGGTTTATGATGTCACTATTTGTCAACCTTAAAAAAGTAAAACCTTTCATAACCCATAATGTGGTCACGCCGCGGAACCTTTTATTTTAAAGCAACTGTTTGCCATTTCATTTCTCACCACACATTAATAATGACTTGGTGGGCTCCATGCAGCCCACAGGCATTGGGTATGGGACGTGTGATCTAATGTCTTGATCCCTTTGCCGTTACAGGTGACAATTCTTCAGCGAACAGTGATTCCGGCAGCATCGAAAACCACCAATTTTGTGTTGGATGAATCTCTCCAAAATGTCACCATGTACATCACAGGTCAAAGTGTCACCTACACAATCACCAACCCTGCAGGTAGACCGTTTGTCACAGTTCATTTGTTTGACAAGTGGAATTTCAAGTTGAGAAGAAAGATCGGTAAATCATTGACTTGACGCAGGTGTGACCCAGAGCAACACTGACACCTCTGGAAAACTGGGGACGGCTAGTTCAGTTGGCAACTTGGTGAGAATTCGCCTCAACGACGACAAGCAGTTGGGGAAATGGCAAATCCTCACCAACTCCCCACAACCTTACACAGTCAAAGTGACAGGTCCGAATTTTGCACATCTCCATTGTTTACGTTAAGTCGGTGCAAGTTTTGAAGTGAAATACACCTGACCCTGATAAAGAGCTGTGTGCCTGTGTGTACTGTCTGTGTGACTGCACGTGTGTCTTTCTCCAGGTCAAAGTATTATCACGTTTATCTATAATTTTGTGGAACGCTTCGAAGGACCTCACCCAGGTTATGCAGTTCTCAGTGGGCGTCCACAAGCAGGTAACGTGCAATAAACCTGTCTTTATCACAGTACCAGAAAAACACTTTCTACACCCTGTCAAACCCACAGTATCAGATATATGTACAAGTGATGAAGTAACTGTAAATGTGCAGCTCCAGCAGTGGACCCAGACTGTGTGGTCTCTGTTGATACAAAAGCACCATCCGGTGGACAAATGCACCTACAGCATGAAAGCGCTGCGACAGACTGTTGTCACGGGATTTCTGGAATTTCTTTCATGAAAATTAGACCTACAGCAAATTTGACTGACCAACTAGTCATTCACACTAGCTAAAAAGTGTTTCACACCTTTACTCCTCTGGATCCTAATACTCTGTTTCTCTTCCTCTGTGGAAACACTAGGTGAGGCAGCCCATCTGTTGCTCTCAGCGATCGGGAAAAAAGGTCCATCCTCCATGAAAATTGGAGACATTGGTCTAATATCTAGTTCTGATAAAATGGAAAATGCCACAATCACTGACCTGGGCAATGGAGACATCCTGGCGATGGTGAAGTCTGTCCCCGAGGGAGAGTTTCTGGTTGTTATGACTGGAACAGACAAGGAAAGCAACAGCGAATTCCAGAGACAGTCCACTACCTCCATGTCTGTCTCCAAAGTCAACATCCAGGTCTTTGCATTCTTCTGCTCTTCACTCTGTAAATTAGGAGCTAGCTGCAGGGTCACATGGGGACGAATGGAGATGTTTTATACTTGTCTCTGTATGTTTTGTTTCTTTAGGCCCACATTCCAAGTAGTATGGAACCAGGAGTACAGGTGGAACTACCCTTCGTTGTAAAGACCCAGGGGGCAGGTGGCGAATACAGTATTGTGGCAAATAATGACAGAGACTATCCCATGGTGTATCCCAAAAAGTAAGGAGAACTTGCTCTAGATTAAAATACCTCAACCAGGGCTCTGAAACCTTAAACATCAAATGAACCTTTTTAATCATTTTACCACCAAGTAAAACTCGCCAAGACCGGTTTTGACAAGGAGATGCTGAGAGATGCTACGATGCATGAGCCAATCAGCATGCTCAATTAGCAAATAGTACACCGAGTACGCATTGTACTAGCCAATAGTATGCCGTGTCTAGGTAAACAAAGCTACCAGCGAATGTTGGAAAATGGGCTTATCTCAATTTCAAAACAAGAGTCCACATTTTTAAAGCCAAAACGTTCGTATGTATAATTATTTAATAATCTTTAATTTTATTTTTTGCTATATTTTGTGATAGAAAGTGAGGGAGCGAAAGAGAGACCGCCATATAGAGAGGGAACACTATAGTAGTATTCAGTACTAGGTATGCAAAAATTTGTTGTTTTGCTGTTGGCAAGCAAGCTAAAAATGTAGTCCAACTAGATTTTTGTTAGCATAGCATTGTAGCATAATCATATTTGTGATTTTACAATACTGTTTTGGGTTTTTTTCCTGAGTCGATCAGACTAAATTTGGTCCATTAACAAACATCAGCCATGATCTTAGGGGCCACATATGGCTCGTGACCCACAGATTGAAGACCCCTCGGAGAACATTTGAAATCTATTTGTGAAACTGCACTTCATATGTCATAAGTATAAGCTGCATATTAGCTGAACTCATAACAAACGTTTTATTAGCTTTTCATCAACTTACATACTGTAGCCTTGCACAGAATGGCGAAATGTTGTAACACAATGTTAATCTTTTTCCAGAATCACCTTGACAACTGGAAAAGAAGTTAATGATACTGTGAAGATCACGCCACCAGGAAACACACCTTCTGGCACTGACGTCACTCTGACCATGGAAGCCAAGTCATCGGATGGCGCTGACTCCAACTATATTGTACTGAGATTGTCTGTTATCAAAAAGGTAAGCTAGCACGTTTTGATGAAAACGCACATGTAAGAATTTTTTTTTAACCATTTCACCGTTGCTGTTTGTTTATCTAGTGCTGTTTTTCAACTTGACGTTTATCTCTCAAATTCTCTGTCCAGATCACAGACTTTTACCAGCCTCTTTGTGAAGACCTTAGCGTGAAGGCTGATGACTGCCCTATGGATTTGTCTCTGTGCGCACCCCACCAGTGGGAAATGTCGGCCAACCTCACCGACGGAAACGGCACAGGTATTGAGAGCGTCACCCTGAGGCAAGGAAATGGATCACTTACGGTCAGCCCTGTGCCCAACCGTATGGTCAAAGTGAGCTACAAAGCCTCCTGCTGCTCACAGATTGTCGAGGTTGTAGCTGTGGATGCAGTTGGAAATGTGGGAAAGTGCTATCACTCCATAGAACGTTCAGCCGGCCCACCTCTTCTAACACTGTCGCTGCCTCTGTGGTTGTGTCTGCTTGTGTCAATCTTTGTTGCCAGGCCTTAAACGGCTCAGATGGTAACAGCCCTAATTGTAAATAGTTCACTGCAATATGGTTAGAGTTACTATTCTTGAGGGTCGGGTTAAACTCGTACATTAAAATGCACTGATGATGCAATTGTAAAGGAATATTTACTGAAGATAATACAATAAACAATAACATTCATGTGCACTACCTGAAGGGGGGATCTCCCAGTTATTGCATATTACTGTGAGGACGGATCTTAAAATTGCATATTTATATGTATTCAGACAAAAATAATCCAGGAAACTTTTAAGATATTTTCAAGACAGGCATGGAAAACCCTAATATTCACTGCATTAATAGTAAAGTCTAGGGATGTCCGATCTCCGGTATTGGCCAAACACTTAATTTCCAATTCCGATATCAATACTGCATTACTTAAAACTACCATTACAGAATTTAAAACACATATTTGTGTTCAACATGTCCTTGCATGTATTAGAGCACGTGTCAAACTCAGGCCCGGGGACTAAATCTGGCCCGCAGTGTAATTATTTGGCCCGTAAGATCATTTCATGTGTTGGCCTGCCAATATATAGCCTCTATATAGTGGCAGAATTTGTAGTATTAGCGGTGTATGTGCTATGTTATAGCACATATATCTAGAAAGGCTACAGATAAAGAGACATATCTCTTTAACAAATACTACTGATGTGTGTTTTATTTTAAATTTAATTTCTCATGTGTTTGGTTGTTCCAGATTCAATGTTTACATAAAACTAAAGTTTGTTTCCATATTAAGGAGTTCTACATTACATATCTGGAGAGAAGGGAAAACATGAACAATTGCTGTCAATTTTTCAATAAATTTTAAGTTTGGGCCACGACTTTGTCCCAGTTTATAATTTTGGTCTACTGTGAATTTGAGTTTGACAGCCCTGTATTAGAGAGTCAATTTTGTGTGGCAATTACCCTCTGTTTTCAGAAATGTCTCAGCCCAGCTATCGCCAAATTTGGAGTTGTATTTCCATACCATTTGAAGTACGTGGTACAACATTGTCAACAGTTGTAACCCCAGCCTAATGACAGCGAACGGTTCCAATTAAAAACAGCTACAAAAAAAACCCCAACAAAATGTTTTTTTTTTAATGACAACTATAAATTAAAGCGTAACATTTTCACATCTTTCAGCCAAACAAAGATAAGAAATATTTTATAAATACAAAGCATAAAATCCAGTCTTTTCAGTCAAAAAGCACAAACATCTTTTCATAAAGTTTTACCTCTTTGTAAACATTGTCTATTTTCTCCAGTTTCTAAAACTGACATTCATAGAAATACTTTTTTATTTATTTGTCAGACTGTGTTAATGTTTCACAAACATCTGAACAGAAAATGCATTATTAACATCAATTAACAGTCCTTCAACATCTTTAGGCCAGCGTAAAATCTGGGTAACATTAGCATCGTGTTTTAATAAATTGCTAAATTACTGAGATGCCACATCAGCTGTCATATGTTTATCCATCATCGTGCTACACGTCAGCCACAAAGACTTCTCTTTTGGCAGCCAGGCAATAGATATCCAGCCAAAATGAGTCAGTTTTAATTTATTACATTTTTTTCAATCAACAGTTGTTGATCCAGTGCAAATAGTGATAAATAAATCACACATTAAAAACAATGTGTAGTGAGTTTATTTTCCATTGACTTATTTCCTTATTGTTCCTTGCTCAGTGCACCTTGTGTACATTCTTCACATGCTTCTTTAGGTGGCCTGACTGTGTGAAATGTTTGGAGCAGTGAGGACAGGCGTGTGGTTTCTCTCCGGTGTGAATATAAGTGTGTCTTTTTAGGTTGTTCAGATCCAAAAATCCCTTCCCACAGTACGAGCACCAGTACCTCTTCTCCCCGTAGTGCCACCTCAGGTGAACGTTGAGTTCCACTCGCCTGTTGAATTTCTTCCCACAGAGATTACACAAGAATGGTTTCTCTCCCGTGTGGCTACGTATGTGTGCCTCCACATCTCGCCTTGTGAAAAATCCTTTGGTGCAGATTGGGCATACGAACCGTTTGATTCTGCTGTGAACCATCTGGAGGTGCTTGCTGAGGATGAAGCGGTAGACGAAGCCCTTCCCGCACTCCTGACAGACGTGGATCCTACCATTGCGATGTACCCGGTCGTGCCGTTTAAGACTCTTTGAGTCCGGGAAACGTTTCCCACAGACCGAGCAAGAAAAAGGTCGGTCTCCAGTATGAAGACTGACGTGGCTTTCCAGGGCTGCGGGGCTGCTGAGAATACGTCCACACTCCCCACACTGGTTCTTGAGCAAACGTCCACCAATGACTGACAGGGGCTGTAAAGGTGAAACCATCGGAGGTAATCTGAAGGGTATGGAGTTGGCAGGAAAACTTGAGACAAAAGCTGTTGAAACTTTCCCTGATTTTGACTCCTTCTTTACAGGTACCTGCAGCAATGTTTTCTCTTCTGCTGGTTCTTCTATAGGTGGGATCCACACAGCTTTAGACATACATTTTTTCCCAGCTTTAGCACTTTTGGGCTGACTGGAACTTGTCATCTTTGCCAGAACTTTATTTTTCACTGACTTCTTAGAATTTACAGCTTTTGTTTTCTTGTTATGGGTTGAAATATCCTGTCGGGGTTTCTTAGTCGTTTTCTTTATCTCCTCTGGACAGACATTGCCATTAACATGCTCATTAACATTTTTGGTAGGACTTCCACCAGTTCTCTTACTAAAACTAAGTGAACTTGATTCACTTTCATCTAGTCTTGTATTAGAATCACAACACGTTTTAGGACAAGAGGTGGAGTTGGACATTTTGGGACTATGGATTTTGGATCCCAATTTGGGTTTCACTTTCTTTCTACAGCCAATGTCAGCTGTATTATGGTGTAACCGCTTCCTTAATCTTTTGGAATCAACTGAAGTTGGCTTATTATTTTCAGACGTAAAACGTGAACATTGTGAGGTCGTACTGGATGCCCTTGTGTGTCTAGATGTTTCAGTCACAGGTTCATCAGATTTCGAGTGGCCTTCATGTATTTCAGTTGGTAGACTAGGGTCTTCAGCAAATGCAACGCCTTCAACCTCACTTGACTTTCCATTCACTGCCGTTCTATTCTCTTTGTTAGCGTTCTCTAATCTGGTCTTTTTAGGACTCGCAGTAGTCGTGGTTGTTTCTGTGCATAGTCTTGTTTCACTTCTTGTAATTTGTGAATGAATCCTGAGGTGACTTCGAAGTCGTGTCATCATAGAGTCTTTCTGTGAACCTTTCCCGTCACTGGAGCAGGTTTCACAATCTAAAGCCTTTTCATCCATGGATGCGTCAGTTGAGGCCTACAAAAATAACAATACAACCTCATTAGGAAACATTTGTCAAAATAATACATTTTGCTTGATTAGACATAACATGATTCGAAACCACTGCTTGAAAGGTTAATATTTGTTAAGTAACGGCAAAGGAATCCAGGGAATCTTTAGTTAGCTACAAAGTGTTTTAGTATTAACAATTAAAAACAGTTTAAAAGTTACCAAACAAATACCATGATATGTGGAATTATCCAAATAAAAATGATTTTATTTACACTTTACCTTTTTTCCAGCTTCAACTGGTGTAACTGCCAATTGTGCCAAGAACTGGGCTTTTGTCATCCTTGACTGAGGGTAGGAGATGTGCTTAGATGGAATGGAGCCCAGTTCTGGTGTTTCCTCCTCCACATCTCCATTTTCCTTGCTCAGATGATAAGCATGGTCATCAAATGAAGACTTGAAGGTTGGGCAGATGTCCACTTCAGACCGCTCATGTGACTCTTCTTCAGAATTTTCAAAATTCCTAGCGATATCTGAGTGGGGATGTGTGGTATTGTTTCCAGGCAGAAATGTGGGTTTAGGATAACCACTCATTCTCAGCCTTGAGACTGAAATTGATTCTTGGGAATTTACCCAAATGGGCAGCCTGAATAATTTTACCACTGGAGAAAGCTTTGGTTCCACTGCCAACTGGAAAGTTGTCGTAGAACCAGTGGACTCAGACATTTTTGTTTTGCAACTTTCAGTGGAGGCAATTAAGCCTGAATGAGTTGCAGCTGTTTCAGGTAATCCAAGGGAGACCAACATATTGTTTAGAGACAAAGTGGATGTATTTTCAGCAGTTTGAGCATCCCCACTGACAGACTGGTTTTGTGATGAAGAACTCAATCGTGTCGTATTGTCACCAGTTACATTATTCGTCATCTCTGCAGATTTTGTAGAAACTTCAGCAGTTTTCTTTTTTCCACATGCTGGTGCATCTTGTGAATTCACACTAACGGATAATTCCAAAGCCTTGGGACAAAGGGAGTCTTGGGGTCCACAATTTAGGTTAAAATTGATTTTGTCGACTGGAATGTAGTGGGTATCGAAAGGTGAAAAAGGAGAAACTTCAACAGGCTTTGCATTTTCACAATCAGGTTGGACTCCTGACAAACATATCAACCTTGGTGGAGACAGTAACTCAGAACCAACTCGTTCTGAACTGATGGTCTCTGACTGGCGTGGGATGGATTTTGACTTTTTTTGTATTATAATTAGTTTAACCTGATCTTTCGAGGTTCTGCTCTCATTGTGTGGAGGTACTATAGGCAGAAGTTTCCTTGTAGTGATGTATGTTACCTTCCCAGGGACTCTGGACAAGGAAGTTGTTCCGAAAGCTGAACGCATAGACGGAGGAGTTGAATGTGAACTCACTTTGGTTGGAGAAACATGAGTAGTCACAAAAACTTTAGGCAGAAGGCTTTGATTTGTTTTGGCAGTAGGTACATTACTGTTGGCTTTGATTTGTTTTGGCAGTAGGTACGTTACTGTTAACGAGTGTTATTGGATGGGGGGAATTCTTCTGCTCATTTAATTGAGCTGTTGATGGAATCTCTGCTGCTGTGTATGCTTTAATGTGGACCAGAGGTTCACTGCTGTTCTTAGAATCAGAATTAATCTCAGAATTTCTGGGCTGAGGAGCAGCATTTGGTGCCGGAACTGTTTTTGATGATGTCGACATATCCTCAACTTCATGAGCTTCAGTAGAAGGTGCTGTTGCCTGTGGATCAATTGCGACATTTTCTGGGATTCTTAAGTCCACCAGCTGGGTATGAGACTGGGGGAGAGACGAGGACACGTTTGGACTCATTGCTTCCACCAGCAGCATTGCATCCTGGAGAGTTACGGAAGTGCAACGTTGTCTGGACTTGACTACAGGTTTTTGAGATTTCACGGAGGAATAAATGAAGGTATCAGTTACAGACGGAATCCGAGAAGATGGAGCTTCATTTCCCAATATTTGAGATTCAGAGGTTTTTCCCTGTTTAGAGGTACCTGCCTCATCCAGATTAGCATTACCTGTACTGACATCTGACGTGACTACAACATGTTTCGCTGTAAATGGAGAAGAACTGATGAGCTTTTGTTCAGGTGGCTTCACTAGGTGATGGTATACCATCTGGGTTCCACAAGTCCTTGTTGTTGTTTGTTCTTCACCTATAACTTCTTTCCTTGTGGTAGGAGGCTGCCCCAACTGATTTCTTGTAAAATGCACACTTTCCTGACAGATAACAGTTTGATCAGTTCGTGACCTTTCTCCACTACACTGTTGCAGGAGCACTGACGGTTGCTCTCCTTCAAGCTGCTCAACAGGCACTGTTTTTTTTTTACTCGGCTGTTTTTGTCGATGTTCTGAATCTGCTTCTGGGCTTTGGGCCATTTGAGTATCATTTGCAACCAATGCCACTCTGTCCTCTTCGTCGACTTCAAATACATCTTGTGTTGAATACACATTGCTAATGTGTGGCCCTGAATTTTCATTTTCCCCATTGTTCCCGCGGTTATGAATTTTTATGGAGGGTAAAAGAATAAAATGGAAAGGTAAGAATTATGAAAAGTAAATGAAAAAATTTTAAGTACTTGTAGCGTTTTTAGGCTTCAAACTTAGGTTAATTTTTTTTCTTGTTACCTGTGCATATTGGCTCATCTTCTGCGTTCTTTAATGCTGACTGTAGACAAAAATAATTTCAGGTTAGAACAACATAGAATCACTAACAAATCCAGATTTTTTTTTAATGGCACCTGAGGTAGGTAAAGCAGTTCTGAAGCATGCAGTAAAGGCAGTTTTTACTAAATGTGACCGGTTAAAAAAATTGCTGTAAAAAAGGAATAAACTTACCTCTCCTTTAAAAGGCGATGATTCTATTGGATAATATGTCTCTTCCTGGTACTCGTAGTTGTGGTCATGCAAACAGTACCTTAAACTCTCATAACTTTGTTGTTGCTCCACATTTTGCACCATCTCAGTACAAGATGAGGTAAGATCTATAAAACAAAAAAATACTTAGTAAAATAATTCTGATAGAGTTAAATAAAGTGCCTACTGAATGATTTTTTTATGCACTCACTTCCACTATTTTGGAAGCCTACACTCAAACGTTTATTCTGGTGGTTGGATTTTGTTGCAAGTCGATCAGCTATCGAGTTGCCATAAGTGATGTTCCTATTTCCACTTTCCCACGAGTCTCAAAATGTCAAATAATGCTCTTATAAACGTGAGAACACATCCTCACAATGGCAGTGATGCTCTTCACGCTGCCGCACAGTGCGGTTTCTCTCACATTCTGGTTGTATCTCACTCCAGTAATAAACAGGCTGGCTTCAAAACGTTTTCCGAGAGACACAGACATTACGCACTGTATTTTTTAAACTGATATAAATTAATCGGTAAAATCATGTGTATTATTGAACAGTAATAAGCGTACCACATTGAACTGCTCGGTCGCGCTTCTCCCAGCTGTGGCATGGTGGCTGACCTGGTCCACTTCCTCCGCCGTAATCTGGTGTTTGTAACGGAGCCTTTTCATACTGGCTGCATCTTGTTTTCAGGTCGTCGTTTTCCTTCTTTATTCTCGAAATTTCTGCCTTCAGCTCTTCGACCATCGCTTCAAAAAGTTTTGTGGTCTCCGCCACGGCGCTCTTAAGCATGCTTTCCATGACAGATGTATATTTGCTCTGGAAGTCGATAAAAGACATGACTGATATTATATTACTTAAACGTTACCACAGTAGCGAAACAAACGATGTTTACGACACCACTTCAGAAATGACAAACGTGCTGTTCTCTTTGTGTGACGCACGTCCACTGACAGAAAGAAGAGGGTTGGGATGGACATCCGGTTAACCCTTCATGCCACAAACAGTTATAATAAGCGTGATACTTTCTGTCTAAACCTGACGGTAACCGAATATTACGTCGTAGCCTATGTACTTAGTTCATTACGTAAGAGGTGTCCACTGACTGTTCTGTCACTGGCCTCGCTGCAGTACCTGTCCGAGTTGCCGTACGCTCGATATGCGCAAGTGCGTCATCTTGGAAAGCGACAAACGGCAAATCATTTAGGACAAACTTCATTTGACAAGCTGGCCGATTTGTAGTACGGCCCGTTTATGAATTCGTAAAAAGCCGTCTCACTGTCATTGAGTTTACGCAACCACAGTACACAGCCAAAGTCCATAGTCCTACATTATTTTTCTAATATATATATAACAGTAACATATGTAATAAACAGAATCAAAGTATTTGCTAAATATTATACTAATATTCTGTTATAATACATGCAAATATAATACATACAAACTGGTCTATATCTTGTTAACACCTCTTATTTATGTATAAATACATGTCCATAAATAATGTAAGAATAGCTGTCAAATTATAATATGATAGAGATAATGTGGTACACCGAAGTATTTGCATAGAAATTAATAACAATACAATAACAATACACGATAGCTATCTAAATGAATAATTATTTGTGTATATGTGCATGTATGTGTGTATTTATGTATGTATATAATTTATTTATTGAAAATTGAGATGTTTTAACATATTTTACAAAGATGCCTGTTTCATATTACCACAGAGAAATCGCCATTTCAACATATATATACAAAATATGAAAAATCGAATTAAACACTAGACATAGCATAGAAAACAATATAAACAACATCAATCCATCAGAGAAAATATAAACCATAAATCATATACTATCCACATTATTTAAGTTAAGTTACGTAACAAATACTTAAATACGATTTACATTAGTTTCCATAGACATTTTATTAAAATCGTTTATAATTTAAAAATGCCCCATTACTGACTTATTTTATCCATCTATTTACCTTGATGTAAATTGTAATACGAACGGAAAATCCAAGTAATATTTAAAAGGCAAAGTTTGTATTTTGTCCAAACGACATACCATACCTTACTGTAAGAAATGGGAAGCGTTTGGCGCAAGCGCATTACCTCTTTGGAGCAAAAGTATTAGTATTGTCCTACTTCACAAGCCGTATCCTGAAACAACGGAAGTATAGTTGTTTACGGAATCAAGAGGCAAGAAATAGCTTTACATGAAACATTTTATTTCGAGATTTTACTTTTCATGTTCTTATGGTACTACAACAAAGGTAAATTGTATTCAAGTAGAATATGGCAGCGAAATGCGTCCGGTTGTCAAACCACTCGCGTCGGAAAAGATTCGGCTGGCTAGTAGGCTAACCGTGGCGTTTTAACGATCTGGCTAGTAGGCTAACCGTGGCGTTTTGAACTGGGAATCTACAGTCAGTAACAGAGAGACGAGTTTAGAAAATAAATTTCATCCAAATTGTCGGCACAACCACTTTCCATCTATTGCAAACGGTACAAAGATTTATTTGTCAGTGTTGTCTTCATAATGGCTGACGCTATCGTGACATTTCAATCTCAGCTCTCCGGTGTTATGGAGACGGTCTTTAAGGCTGCTATGTATGAGATCACTCGGCTGGTTGAGGAAAGTTTCTTGGTCGAGGTGACACAATGCAGGGAGCAAGTGGAGTCTCTGAAGAGAAGACTGAAACGGTCTGAGAGTCGAAGGAAGGAGAGTGAAGGAGATAAGAGGCTGGAGCAGAGGTGTGCCGACTGTGGGAGACTGGGAATTTCGGACGAGGAAAAATTTCGAGCAGAAGGTGAGTTTATTTAAATTTTTACTCTCAATATACCAATACATTTGCTTTCACAAGGCTTACTTAAAACAAACGACTTTAAATAAGTAAAAACGAAAAAAAGTAAAGTCAGTTTCTTTGTGTAGCTTAACTTCACATAACAAATTTGGCCTGTAAGAGGGAAAATTCAAGGAAGTAGAGCAGAATGGGTTTTACTAATATAAACCAATCTCTCTCTCTCTCTCTCTCTCTATGTATATATGTGTGTGTGTATATATATATATACTGTATATCGACAGATAGGTAAATAGATAGATACAATATCTTTTTCAATTTCTGCTAACACGTAAACTCTTCCACTTTCTTCAGATGAAACAACAATCTGAGAACAAGCACATTGAGTACATTGATAGTTATCTGTCACTTTTTCTTGGTGGTATTTGTAAATAAATGAATGAGCATTAATCCAGTGGTTCTGTCCATTGAGAAAATGCTTGTACTGGCTGTTCTTTATATTTTGTTTCCAAAAAACTGCAAATGCAAAATAGCTTTCTAGATACAAAGTGTTTTTTTATTTTGTGTTGCAGATAAATGCTTGAAACTGGAGAGTGTGATTCACGAAAGGATAGGGAGCTCCCAGGACACTGATATAGAGACGGATAACAGCGATGTGGACCAGACAAAAGTTGATGCTGAAAGCCCCTCAGGGGCAACAGATGTATGAACAATTAATAACAGTTAACTATTAACTATAAGATATAACTATAAGTAACTATTAAGTAAAAGCCGGTTTTTAGACCATTAATATTGATTGTTTTTTTCCTCACACTTCTATCAGTCTGGTGTACAAGATGAAAAGCTAGATAGACTGTTGAAGGAAGAAACGCTTCACCTTTCATTAGACACCAATGGGACTCAAGAAAAATGGGTGGTTAATGTAGATGGTAAGTCTGTGTATTTCTGTAAATAATTACTGAAACAGTAAAGAAAAACTATTTTAAATACAATTTCCACTTATTTCATTGTAACAGTACAAAATTAGAAACGAAATTCATTTTTACTTTTAACCAACAATAATTCATAAAGTTTTTCTTTTCCTTTATTCATTGGACAGAAACAGATACATCAGGTTTGCCTGGACCCAGTAAACGCTTCATTGACCAAAAGATTCCTAAGTGCCACGGGAATTGGGAAGACAGCTTTGAGCAGAAGGCACAATCAGAGCGACATGAAAACTCAGGCGACCCATCTGATCCACTGTTCCAGAGCAGATATGGCATGGAGGACCTGGGCAGCTATGACAAAACTGCTGGTTATGTCGATGCTGGCATGATGGAAATGAGCAACTTAGATGGGTTCCAAGGATCACCATCAAACCTCGGCAAGGAGCTGAACTACATGGAGCATTTTGAAGAGGGTGTGGAGGCCCTCGGAGGAACAGGGCATCAAGCCTATCAAACAGGTACCCCACGGAGTAGAAGGCCTACAGTCAGCTTACAACCAGGATCACCCTCGAAGGCTAACATTGATGTCAGTGGAGAATTAAGCTGTTTGTTGATTAATGAGGAAGGTTATTTACAGGATCCAGGTTTGTTGTACTCGGATCATGTGTCTGAGGACAACGATGGTAGATTCCAGGGGCAGGGTAATCGAACTCAGTCCTCTTTACACAGCGCCGAGGACATTTGTAATGTCTCAAATACCTATAATGATAATTTTGACCTGGTAGAGAAGAACAAGAGTCAGACAGGAGGGAGAAGTGGGAGGAAACATTACGTTTGTCAGCAGTGTTCCATGTCATTCCCTGACTCCCCTTCACTCAAGGCTCATAAACAGACTCACAGAGGCAGTGGACAAGGGTCACCGTACTCTTGTGGCCAATGCGGAAAAACCTTTACTCAGGCGTCTAGTCTCAGAGTCCACCAGAGGATACATGCAGGCGAGGGTCATCTGTGCACTCACTGTGGAAAAGGTTTTCCTTACTTCTCAGATTTGAAAAGACACAACTGTGTTCAGACGGGGGACAAACCATACTGCTGCTCCGTGTGTGGGAATAAATTCAGCCGCCTGTGGAATCTTAAGCTGCACAGGAGAATTCACACGCAGGAAAAACCTCACCGTTGTTCAGTGTGTGAAAAGAGCTTCACTCGGGCGGACATACTAAAGGTTCACCAGCGCACTCACACGGGAGAGAGACCATACTGCTGCTCCATCTGTGGCCTCAGCTTTAAAAGACTGGATCATCTTAAATCACACCAGCGTAAACACAGTTGAGGACTATTTTTATTACCCCTAAGATACAGAATTATTGTTTTCTTTATCTAAATTAATGGCTGTTTATGGATCATGTTATTCATTTCTGTTGGAACTCAGACAAACAATTCTAAAATTCTTTAGTCACATTATTCTCTTTTTTCAATTCAGTCTTAGGGTTATAATTAAAAACTTTTGTTTGTTGGTAGAAATGTTAATCAAAATTAATGAAAGTCTGTTCATACAATTTAACTTGTCTGTTAATAAAACAAATGAAATCCAGTTTATGATGTTCTGTGTCATTTATTATAGTTTGGAATTTATGAAGTTGAAAACCTAAAACTTATCTGACATAATAATTACTACGGCGGAATGTTGTGGCCAAATGAAATTACGAAAAGAAAGTTGTAAGTTTCCAGTGTGTGTGTTCAATAATTAAGAAAATGTTATGAAACAACAGTTCTAAGTTTGTGGTGTTTATGTTTTAACATCTCTTTAATGTAAAATTTAGACTTCTCATAAATTCTTTTATTTGAATCTTGTAACTTTAGAACGTCCAAATCCACCTTGACGCACATAATTCTCTTAATACATTCTAACTGGCTTATTACCTCGTAAGGTTTAGTAATTTAAATAAACTCAAATGTTTTTTTACGCAGTAATGTATTTGTTAAAGTTTTCATACAAACCGTTTTATAAGACCTGATATTATGTTTAGTGTTTTACTGCAGTTCCCCACGAAGAGTGTGGGTTTTGTTTCTCTATGGCGCAGCCCGAGGGTTTCACAGGTTGAAAGAGAAAACGCGTTTTCTCTTTCAACCTTTCGGCCGCCGTCGTGCGTCATGAATTACGTCAGGGGTCAAAACAATGTTTTTACTTGTTCTGTTTGCTCTTGTAAAGCTAATACATGCGAGGACTGAGGAGGTTTGATAAAATAATGTCATGTAAGCTGAAAGCACCGTGTCGAATATATCGACGCGGTTCGTTCCGTAAATATTTATGTATTTAAAATAAAACAGGCGTTAAGAGCTATTGTATGAACGTTTGATGTTGGTTATGCCAGTTAGCCCACTGATGCTAGGGTCAAGCTAAACCTCGCATCGTTGGATTAGATGAAAAAAAACAGGGATGTAACACTTTAAAGTTATTGGGAGTTTTCAGCATGGACATCAAATTAATATCTACTTGATGAAACGTCCACTGAAGTGTGTGATGATGCCAAGTTCACACCTGGTGGGGTTGGCCGTCTGATTCTCCTACAAACCCGACCACCTTTTGTATACCCGTGTTAACACCCGATCACGAGTCCATCATGTCAAACTTGGAGACTCTTCTGGCCGCTTTTCAGACCCAGCTGTCGGATGTGATGGAGACTGTGCTTAAAACTGCCATGTTCGAGATCACGAGGCTGTTGGAGGAAGGGTTTTTGGAGGAGGTGAAGCGAAAGGGACAGGAGGTGCAGTCCCTGAAGATGAGGCTCCAGTGGACTGAGAAGAAACTGAATGATGAGGAGATCAGCAAAGGTGGACAAGTGACAGGAAGATGTGTAGACTGTGCCAAGAAGGGCTTGATACTGTCCACCAACACCGAAGAAGTGACGTCTAACAAGCAACAGGATGGTGAGACTTTTCTTCTTTTGCTCTGTCTCATTCCCCTCAGTCATTAATGTTTGGATAGTATGTGTTGTTTTTTAACAACTGTCGGGTGTTTTTAGATGTGTTTAGTGGCCCTTCTGTGAAGAAAGAGGAAAGTTCTGTTGACAGATGGACCAAAGACCAAACCCTGAACCTATCAGAGACTCTACCACTGGAGGAGGATCATCCATCTGTCTGTCCAAGCCCAGATCGGCAAACCCAGGTATTTAACAGGTAGTCAGAATAGGTGCATCATTTGTTGTAAATGTGAAAATTTAATCTGAACCTGGTGCACCGAAGTGTCCAATCTGTCCTGCGACTAGATTCTAAAAATAAACTTCAAAAAATGTTAGACAAAAATGTGCCTTTTATGTAGTTTTATTTGAGTGTCTCACCCAAAGTTGTCTATCCAGAAAAAGTCTGGCCCTCCAAATAAAGGTGGTGACCCCTGGTATGCAATATAAATTATACATCATACCATATACAGTATATTGACATATATGTTATAAATTAAATCACTTTGCAGTATTGTATGCACTCCATTTGTACACCAATGGAATGCATTGTTAAAGTAGAAACACTGTCTAGAACAGTACAGACCTTACTATGTTATTGTCTTTTCTTTTGCAGGATTGTCAGGTTCCAGTACCAGTAGAGGAGGTGATGGAATCAACTGCAGATGTGAAGGAAGAAATCGTCATTAGGTCGTCTTGTTCATCGTCGCACGTAGGAGTGTGGACCAGTAATGTTGATGGTAAATGTGATTTAACTTAAGCCTTTAATACTGCACCAGTTCCAGGCTTTTGTCATTGAAATTTAAAAAACATACTTTCATTCTGTTGAAGGAAAGTATCTTCTTTGTTAAAGTCAAGAACACTTAACTTCTACTGTAAATATTTGGCTTTTTACTCTTTGTCGGAAATGACACTGCTTATAATTTAAAAAAGTGAAAAGCTAGTAACTGAGAGCTAGCTTGAAATGTGAGATTAAAGAAAAAGATACTAAATGTAAAATTGGACTTTTTGGTAATAACTTGTTAGTGGTAGTAAGGTAGTAAGCCATTCTGTAGAGAAGTAAATTAGTTAATCTTATCTTAGTCAGATGATGTCCTTGGTTTGCTAAAAACAGTTAGCATAAATTAGCAAAACAGCTAAAATGAGCCTAAGAGTGAAAAAAAAAATTTAACAAGATGTACATTATATAGTTATATAGTTATATAGTTATCAAAAGCTAAACCTAATGCACCAAAATACAAGAATTTGAATTAAAAGCACCAGAATAACATGGCTAATCATTAATGAAATTAGTTAAAATTATGCCAAGAGCTTAACCTTAACTCTGAAAAGAAATATCGCCTATTAGCATAAATATGCTGTAAAGATTGTAAAATAACATAAAAAAATACACCTGCAAAACCTAAAAGTCAGGCAAAATGTTGGCCGTGATTGTTAACCTGCTGAAGTGAAACAACTTTTCATGCAAACATAGCACTGTCAGAAATCTAATACAACACAGGATTGATGTAAATCCATGGGTTTGGAAAGAACCAAACAGCCCTTTAGTTCTCTTCAGTCAACTCAGCAGCAATTACAAACACGAGATTAAAAACGATTTTACTCTGGTTTCCATTAACCATCGTCAAATCCCACTGCATACAGACCCTGTACCTTTCAGTTTTAATTAAGAAAGATCTGTATTACCTGAATTCTCCCCTTGCCTATTTTCTTCCTAATTCCTATGGAAGTAAACTAATGTGCATTTCTTCATTTAATGTAAAAATCCCACTGTGCCTCTTGACCCCTGCACATGGGGATGTCTTCATATTTTCACATGCCATAGCAACACATTTGTCTCTGTAGCCTGTGGATAGAAAGGTTAATATCTTCTCATGCAGGCAATCTGTCAAATTTATGTCCCACCAATACACTTAGCCTCTGTAATAAACAGAATTAGATCATCAATCCTCTTATGTAAGAAAAGCTTGTTTACTTGAGGAACAATTCCAGTAGATTGATTATTACGTATTCACATATTTATTGGAGTGACCTCACTCGCAGCTGGCCAGTTAATTTTCTTGGTAACGGTTTACTTTCCGAATAAGGCTGCAATTGTTCGGACATGACTCATTTTCAATTATTTTTCAGGCAAAGCTGGACTTGAATCTCAAAACGTCTCAGCGCTGAAAGAGATGCCAACAAAGCAGAGTGAGGAAAATGACGAGGAATTATTGAGGACTTTCATCAAGTACAGCCCTCAGAGATCTGCTGCATGCAGTTATCCTGCAGAAGTGGAGCACACTCCAGTTTCCACAGATGTTTCTGGTTCTGAGATGGACACCAGCTGGACTGGTCTTCTCCAGAATCACGGGTCATCTCCTGAAAAGGATTTTGATGCATTAAAAACCTCTTCTGACTCCGCCCCTCTGAGTTCAATGTCTGAAGACCCTCAAGTGACTGTGCAGACCTCCTCAGCTTTAGGTGTGACTGTTAAACAGGAAGTAATTCTTCAATCTGACCAGTGTGAGGGAAGTGAGAGCATGGAGAAGGAAGCACGGTCCAAGTTTGTGTCACGTCCAGCCAAACAACACAGGCAAAGTTCAGGGTCATGTAAACAGAACCACATTTCCCATAAAGCAGCGGTGCAGGAGGTCATGAAGGTACATCCCAAATCGGCGGTAGGTCTCAAACTGCAAGCTGCCCTCCAGCAACTGCAGAGACCAATTAAAAAAACGGCCCAGTCTTTCTCCAGCAGTACCACAGCTGTGCTGTCCTTAGGTCATTCTCCAAGTGCAAACTTAAATTCTGTCAGCAGAATTCCTTCCACGTCCAAAACCAACTCCCCGCCTCCACCCTCAGTGCCGCGACCCCGTCTGAGCGACAGACAAGCTGCAGCACTCGGTCGGAACACAGCCTCGTGGATCGGCATCAGATCCCAACATCAGTCAGCCGGCTCCAATCACAGCAACCCCGCGCTCCACTCCAGCTCTCACGCTGGCCCCAGGCATCTCCTGCGCTGCGGTCAGTGTGGAAAGTGCTTTCCACACCCCAGCAACCTGAAAGCTCATCTGCAGACTCACACCGGGGAGCGGCCTTTCTGCTGCTCTCTCTGCGGTCGCAGCTTCACCAAGCTGAGTAACCTCAAGGCTCACCGCAGAGTCCACACCGGAGAGAGGCCGTACTGCTGCTCGGCCTGTGGCAAACGCTTCACCCAGAAATGTAACCTGAAACGGCACCAGAGGATCCATCTGGACGTATGATGTGAGACGGAGACGCTCACGGTTAGGCAGACAGTGTGTTTGTTCAACAGTTACCAAACTTGTGATCATGTCTTTCAAAGTGATTGTGCCAAGTTCTTCCCTACATTCCTACAAAGTGTTGTTGTTTAACTGAAACCAAAACAAAAAAAAATCTCTATGTTCTTTGTAATGTATTGTGTGCATTTGTCACATACTGTCAATAAAATACTATTTATTCTGTGAAAATGACATTATATTTGTTACTAAATCAGACATGACAGACTTTCGGGATAGTTTTCTACATGTTTAGATGAGTTTTCTTAAGAGTTCTTGCTCGTTTTTCAGCAAATCCAAGACTGACTGTTCAATGTCGTTTTAATTCTAATTTTCTAACTCATTTTACAGTGAGATAGGTTTGGACTAGGCATTGCCACAGCTCTAGTTTTCTGCAATTCTCTTACTGAAGTAAAGATTTTCTTTCGGTTACATGGCTATGAAGACTGACTTGAAGACCTTTATGTTGCTCTAAATTTAAAGGTGACTTCCTCCAAAGCAGGAGAGTGGTGTACAAAACCATAATACTCTATATATACCACGGCTGTCAAAATGACACCTTAACTGCGTTAATTAATAATTGAAATTAATGGTTGTTTACAGTGACACGCAGTGCACGTCCATTAATTCCACTGTCCACTCCTTCGTTGTTCCTATCGTTGTTTACGTTACGCCGAAGCACCTCCAACTTTAAATACCAAGTAGTATTGGGCACCACGTGCGGTCTACGGTTGACGAGCTGACTGACAAAATTGTCAAATGCATTTCGGAGGACTGCAGACGGATTTATATTGTTGAGGACAACGGCTTCACCAAGCAAACCCTCTCGTCCTACAAGCCTGTGTTTTGAAGGCCATGATTAATTACACCATTTGGAATAAGCTCAATGCAAAACAGGTGTGGAACATTTTGCTGTTAATTGTCATAATATTTTCGTGATATAGAAAAGAAGGTTTGGGGGTTATTTTCCGGAATGTTGTCTCGAATAATCGTAATTTCTTTTGATAAATCCACAGCTGCCTTGACGCAATATTAGGGGCACGTTCTGAATTAAAAAATACGAGATTAAAGTCGTAAATTACTGACAACAAATTCGAAACGTTACGAGAATACAGTAGAAAAGCTACGATAAAGAGTCGTAGCGTTTCATGAAAACACCTCTGTGACTAATAAATGAAATTAGTATTTAGTAATTTATAACGTTGGTGCAGTACATCAACCGAACACTTGGGGTCTGTATTTCACCACACTTAGGACAACTATCAGGGCCTCGGCTGAGTTACTTCACATGATTTCTCAGCAGGTAATGCATTAATGGACTGTAGCAGGTCTAATAACAAACAGCACACCATTAGAGTAATAATTTCACTTTTACAAGCGTCTGTAATACACTGTCCTGAGTTGAACAGTCTGCCACAGCCTGCGTGTGTGTTTGTGTGTGCGCACGTGCGCGCAATTCATCTTATGATGTGTTGTGCTTGTCGAGTCAGAGCAGGGTGGTGCAGGTGGAACAACTGAACATTTTCGTGGAGACCAAAAAAAAAGAAGCTTAATATTTTCTCCTATAGTTTGCTGCAAATGAAAAGTCAGCGTTGACAAACACATTCATATTCATAATAACTTTTAGAGGGACTTTTCACAGCAGTTTTATCAACAGCTATAAATATTGTTCCTATAACTTTTACAAAATCACCTTTTACCATGTTCTATAATTGTAACTCTGTATTGGCTAGTGTAACTTTGTACCCAGGGTTTGTATCCATGTATTTATCTTCTATTGCTTTGTGCTGTTCAGGATCCCAGCATTCATCGGGTCACCAATCCTTCCTTTTAAGAGGCTAGAAACTATTAATAGCATGCAATTAACCTCTCCGTGTTTTTGAACTCTAGGTAGAAACCCGGAATACTTCAAGAACACACACAGGAAACTTCATTTGAAAACAGAATGACCATCTGTTACCACTGGGCTTCAACCCGATGACCTTCTTGCTCTGAGGTAAGACCACTAACCACTCTTACATAATGGGACCTGTTAATCACAAACCTAAGCAAATACTGCTATACCTTTCTAAGTGACTAACATGACTTGTCTTATGTAAGTTGGCTTGATTTTTCTTAGCTCGGCTAACTATGGGTCATTGTAGTAGTCCCTAATTGGATTATTTTGTTAATTTCTACCTAACTTTTAGATAGATTTTGACCTTTTACCATTGCGTGATTTCTGATTAAAAATATTATCTTTTGACTAATGTAGATATATTTTAGCTAGTTTTAAGATAGCATGAGAGGCTGTTTATCGCATAATGCTTACCTGCTATCTGTAATCCTTCCACATTTTTGTGCTATGTATCACAAGATGAGTTTTTTTTTTTTTTACATCAGCAGTGAAAACCCAGTCACCTCTGTATTTCTGATGTTTTAATATGGTTTTTCTGTGTGAAAACCTGATAATTTCTGAAGCTGCATTCAAATATTTATCAGGTAGACCCTGGCATTGGGCTTTGGCTTTCAAAAAGCGTTTAATTACTCAAACCAAAACTACTCAGGGAAGACTTCTTTTTTCTCTTTCTCCTCTTTTTCCTCCAGTTATCACATTTTCTGCTCTGCTTTCATGCACCTTCTGTTGCCCTTCAGAAGAAATAGTAACCCTGAGGCAGCAGTACTGCGTCGCTCTGTTTGCTTCTCCCCTTGGCCATATCTAAAAGCTGCGCACTGCGCTGCTGTTAAATTGGATTTGCCTAGAAAAAAAAGGGGGGACAACGTAGTGGAAAAGGTTACACAAAGAGAGAGAGTCAATGGTTCTGGGCAGTGATGGAGCACATGTGATATTGTTACAAGCGTGTACAAATTGGCAACTCTTACTGAAGTATCAGTGAGCGAGACGCCGAGCTTCGATCTGTTTCCTAAGTGTCATACTGCATATTACAGCAACTGTGATACTGTAAAAGTAGATGGGAAGGAGAAGACTGCAGAATGCACAGTAATAGTTTTTTCCACTTCATAAAAAAAGAAACACTTTTTTGTTGTTGGTATTACATATAGAACATGGGTTCTGTTTGCAAGTTTCCTAAGATCAACACACACAAAAAACTCTGTCTCTGGTTCATCAGCATCACACTTCCCTATTTTTTAACAACCTGTACGTTTCATGTCATTGTTCCACATCATTCAGAACCTGGTCCTCATAGTAACATAAGCAAAGAAACCTTTAGTTTTCTTAACTTGTTTGTTTGTTTGTATGTATACATACGGACATTACCACATGTATAGTCATTGACTACCTAAACATATATGAAAATTACTTGAATTGTGTGCTGATTTTCTATTGTCTTATCTATTTAAGTATCTATAAAAGTCTTAAGTATTTTTTCTCAATTTTTCACTAGCTATGTTTTGCACGATCTTTGGTTAAATTCTGTGACTGGATTATACATCAACCCTCTCTCTCTCTCTCTCTCTATATATATATATATATATATGTATAAACATACTGTATATAAACTGCATGGTCAGATGTTAATTCATCTCGATTAATCATGACTGATTGTGACGTATTCACACACACTACTCAACATTTGAGAGCAGTCTCACTCTCAAAAAGTCAAACCTGGCTGAAACCATATAATATTGTTCTCAAATTGTAATAGTCAAGCTGTAGTTCATTGATTTACCCAATTCCTTCCTGCCGATTTTCTCGATGTCCAATTCCTGAGCACACCTACTGTATATAAACTCAAATATATTTAGACACATTGACAACACCTGTAATGTCCAGCTGAGTGAAAAGATAGATTTGTCTTTATGATCACAGGCAGATATGACAAAAAGACAGAGTCAAATGACACTGCAGCCGGCATATTTAAAAACTTTTAAGATCAGGTTTTTAAAAATCTCAAATGCCTAATACATCACACAATTGTCTCTCTCTCACTCGCCCTCTCTCCCTCTCTACATTTTGGAATTTACGAGTCAATCTGTGGTATTAGTAGTGCCTGACTGGACTTATGCTTCCTGCCACCTGAATTGATAGCTTTTGCTGAAAAGAAACTTCTTCTTTTCTCTTCTGTGTCAAACCTTTCCATTATTAAATTCCGAGCTTAACAGGCTGCGGAGTGCATCGTGGAAGATTTATGCCAAGTGTTGCAAGGGTAGTGTGCCTTATTCATAACACCTTCATATTTCATAAAAGCAGCTCAGGCAGAAGAAATTGAACTTTGATGTGTTCCTTATTCTACCTTCAATTGCTGTTTCCTGTAAGTCCACTAAATCCATTAAGCAAGGAGCTTAAAGTCCTTGAGCTTCACCTTCTTTTTATTGTGTATCAAAGAATAAGTGTGTCTGTGAAGTCTGTATCTCTTTCCTTGTCTTTCTTGAAAATATTATGAGCAGTGGCTGTTTTCACAAACACTTCAAAAACCTGCTCCTGTGTTAAAGTTGCTGCTGTTTCTTCCGCTTGTCATTCAACGTCACGATAAGTCAATTCAAAAGCTGGATGTGCGAATGACAAGTACATTTCTATTACATTATGTCTCATTCACAGCTTTTCTTACTCTCTTTTCGTCGCAATCTCCTTCTCTCATCTTGACTCATTTCAGTTTTATCTCATCCTTTCCCATTTCCCATTTGATCTGAATCTAAATCCATCTCATCTCATGTTATCATCTAGCTCTCATTCTGACCTAACCGTATTCTTATTTCATCACATTAGTGTAGACTCTCTTTTAAGTAAATGGTCCTCGGTTAAAGAAAAAAAAAGAAAAAAAGAAAGAGTGACAGGCTTAGGCCAAAACCTTCACCTCCGTTCTTTGGTTCCAATTGCTCTCAGCAGTGTTTGTTAGGAGTTTCAGAAAGAAACTCTTTGATGAGAACATTAGGTGACACCAGGAGGATTTGTTAGAACGTTGAATATGTTGGACACTTGGACACAAATTGGTGTTTCTGTGCTCACTTGACAATTGGGCTAATGTATGAAAAGAAGATAGGCAAGGAGCCATAGAACCCAAGACAGTCCAGTCACCTCTTGCGTAACGTCTTTGGATAAAATGACCTGGATGACTGAGAACCTTAAGATGAAAAAGTATCATTTTATATAACTGTACCTCCTTTACAAAAGTGTGGGCATTAAAACAACAGCACACTACAGCCCACATGCACATGCACATATACACAGATTCCATCTGTGTATATGTGTGTCAGTGTGAGTTTGGTAATTGCTGTGCTGGACTCATTCCCCCTGCCAGTCTCACAGTTTGAAGCTTGTTTGTTCCTCTGCTTTGGTGGAAGCTACTGAAAACACACCAAAAATGTCTCGCTGTGTATGGTAATTGCACTTAACAGCGAACGGGAAAAAATGACAGGAAATAACAGGATAAACATTTTTAAACCTTGTATTTGCAACAGCTCTGCGGCACCCTCTGATGTGGACCCAGGTCTGTACCCAGAGGCTTAAACCATTAATATGGGGACTGATTTGAACTGACTCTACCACTGAGAGACTCCTGGTGTGGATCAGAGCAGCACAGGGTCAAGAAAGATTCTTGTTAACAAGACTTTAGAATTGGAATTTCCCTCTGAAATGATACGATATATTTTTATCCTTCGGTATTTTAGGCTGCACAACTATAGGCTACTGTATGTGAAAAGGTTCAAAGGACCTTGAAGTCTTCTCTTCGTTGCTCAGTTTAGGGGTCGTCACATTAGATCATCTGCCTCCATCTCTTGCCTCCTCTAGTACCACACCATAAATCTTCTGGAGGGTTCTTCTCTCCTTGTCTGGCCCGGCAGCTCCATTCCAACATCTTCTGTCCACTATATTAAGTGTATTCACTCACTACATGCACAAATCCCATATTATCTTATCTAAAAATAAAATGAATATCATCATTTACATTCATTTTTTTGTTTTGAAGAATTCTTCAGAATGTCTCAAAACATTGATTTGATTGAGTTTTGCTCTGATTTCAGAATTGCTCATAGTAAGGTTGTAAAACCTAAAAAAGTAAAAAAAAAAACATGATGTAGCTTAACCTGACAAATAAATTATTAAATAATAACTTAAAACTAATATGCATAGCAGTGATCAACAACTGGCGGTACGTGGGCCGAATCGACCCGCCAAACGGTCCAATCCGGCCTGCGACTGGATTCCATAAATAAACATCAAATAATAATGTAAGATTTAATGTCTGAATTGATTTCAATGCCTCGTTTAAAGAAAATGCTTTTTATTATTTACAAAAACATGTTGTTAGGTTGCATTCAGTTCTTTTATTTTTATTCACTGATCTATAGGTTAACTGTTGGTGGTCCATGGTTCCATTGTACCAAACTCGACCAGTAAACACACCTCATGACCCACCAAAGGTCTTGATCCAGATTCATACACACAAATTCAACATACAGAAGGGAATGAATAGGTAATCGAAGAAAATACTCAAATCTAAATGAATCACCTAATTAATCTACACCTCCCCTTATTACTTTTGCATAGATGGAATGTTCCACCATTAGCGCACCAGTGTGCAGCCTCACAGATTAGGTGGCAGCAATAAATCCATGTCACCAGATCATGTGGAGGTATGTTGCTGCTCTGCTTCTTTAAGATTTCCTTTTTCCACAACATTGGATGTAAACAGCACACGTGTCTCAGCTCAAATGTTTTCATTAGCTCCGTTATCATGAGGCAGTGGCGTTCATTGTTGAAAATTAGTCAGCTCTAAACAAACACCTGCTGTGTGTAACGTCAGTGACAGAAATCGTGGCCTTGTTGTCATTAGTTCCATTTGTTTTTCTTTTTGAATTCACTTATTTGTCTATGGTTAAATACAGGCCAAACAGGTACTGCTGAAGTTCATTATTATGTTGGTATTTTCTGTCAACATTGAGCTGTGGCTTATATTTAGATGATGGATCCATTGATTTAGTTTCTTGGTTTTTTTCATCCTTTTTTTCAATTATTCTTTATGTAAATGTTTAAATATAAAAAAGACAGATTGT